TCAGCAGCGAGCAAACGTAAGCGTTCTCAACCCATCTGTTGATTTTCTCTCGTCACGTATCGTCTGTTTATTTTATATAATATTTTTTGGTCTGGACGATGATTGCTCGCCAGCTTACTGTGAAAATGCTTGTGTGGGTGTGTGTATGATTTGAGTGGCATATGTCTGTTTGCAGCTGGAGTGGAGAAAAGGGAAGGAGAATCCATTTGTGAAGAGCATAAGGGCGAGGTTGAGGCCCAAAGGGATGCCGTTGAGTATAGTTCATGATGGAGATGGGTTTCCCCGGATTATATTGACTGAGCCAACTGGGTCATCTGCAGAGGTATTTTTAAGCTTATCTTGATCTTGGTAAAAAAAAAAAAAAATCATGTGGGTTTTTTGGGGTTATGGTGATTCTGTTTGGTTGTCTTAGTGGTGTGAATTTAAAAGTGTTTTTGTGGAATTTAATTGTGTGGTTGATGATGTTGTTTGGAAGACAGTATTTGAGTGTTTGCAGTTGTATGGTGTGAAAATGGTTTTTTGGTTTTGAAAAAGATAATCTTTTTGTAATTAATTTCAGCATATAGGAAAAATGAAAGTTATTTTGAAGTTAAAACAGGGAAAATTAATGAAATGACAGAAGGTAATTTAGATTTTGGATGCAGGAGTTTGAAGAAAGAGATTGAGTTGATGAAAAAGGAGACTTTCTTTTTTTTTTTTTTTTAATTTACCAGTCAGTTTATCTTCCTACCAGCTATTGTTCTCTGGTGTATCAAAACTACATCACTTCCTAATCTGGTTAAAAACAAGTTACAACATGCTGGGATTAAGAGATTCATGGATCTCAGGCCAGTTATTCTGGATGTTCATTTTAAAAATCTTGGATTTTGGAGTCCTGCTTGGATGAAAACAGAGAAATGGAGTTTTTCTTCTGATATTTGGGATAATTAACTGGGATTTTCATTTCTGAGCTTGAGTATCAGATTTAAATCCATAGGACTCAAAAGCTCGATGATTTGGTGATAGAAACTTGACAAGAACGTACTCTTTTAACTTCAAGTTTTCATCCTGTTTTACTGGTTATGTTCATCACATCAGTGTAAAAGGGGACTATAGATTGCATTGTTACAAATAGTTCAGTGTTAAATGGTTTCAGGTACTCTTGTATGGAGGCCAGGTTGTTTCTTGGAAGAATGAGAGGAGAGAGGAACTTCTTTTTATGAGCAGCAAGGTATGCCACTTATTCTTATGTTTTATCTGAGGAGTTCAAGTAGTTAGAGTCTACTGTCTTTTTCCGCTATATTTCTTAATCAATCCTTTGCGTTTGTCGAAGATTAATGAAGTTCTGTCTCCAGAAAGCAACTCAGAATCTTTTATCAATCTGCTTTTGTTTTCCTGGTTTCTTAATGACTTCCTTCCGTGCCTTACATGATGAATTGGTCACCTGTATGAACTCTTAAAGATCTATTTTTATATCCTTTTCTTATATCTAGCCAGATGAGTTGCATAATGTCTAACAAAAGGGAAGGAATAAGCACCTTGATTGGTTCTTCTCTTTTATTTGTCATGTTATTTCCCGATTTTCATTAAATACTGGCTTCTGCTAAGCAATTCACACTTTATCAGTCATTACTCCTTGCAGTACTATTCTATTTTCTCCTTCATAAGGACATATAGTGCATTGTTAACTGGACCTCAAATGCTTTTTCCGTTGTTTTGTTATTAAAGCAACAGGCTGACAGCTTCAGTCAGGACCTCCCTCCATATTTTATCGACACACCCTCGGTTTCTACGTTCTGCA